GGCCACCAACCCAGATGGGCACAGTGGTAGCAGATGTCACATCCCCACTGGGGGCCACCAGTCTGGAGGTGCCACAAGGGAGAGGTGGGGAGTGGGAGCAGAGTTGTCACCACCTGTCTCTGTGTCTCCCCCCGGTTCTTTAGGATGTTTGATGTCGGAGGGCAGAGATCAGAGCGCAAGAAGTGGATCCACTGCTTTGAGGGGGTGACGTGCATCATCTTCTGTGGGGCGCTGAGCGCCTACGACATGGTGCTGGTGGAGGATGATGAGGTGGTGCGTGAGGGATGGGGGGGGGAACAGTGGTGGGGACATGGGAACAGGGCCTGCCTGGCTGGGAAAGTGTATTTCCTCACAGCAGTGCCATTTTTGGTGTGACCACTGCCCCCAGCCCCACACTTGTCCTCTTTTTGCTGACAGAACCGCATGCACGAATCCCTGCACCTCTTCAACAGTATATGCAACCACAAGTTCTTCGCCGCCACATCCATCATCCTCTTCCTCAACAAGAAGGACCTCTTTGAGGAGAAGATCAAGAAGGTGCACCTCAGCATCTGCTTCCCTGAGTACGATGGTGAGCGATGGGGGTGGGAGATGGGGAAGGGGCTCTAATGGCACCAGAATGGAGTGCAGCAATGGCAGCAGGGAGCCCCCAGCCCCAGCAGCAGCCCCACTCCTCCCTCCCCAGGTCCCAACACGTTTGAAGATGCAGGGAACTACATCAAGACCCAGTTCCTGGATCTCAACATGCGGAAGGACGTGAAAGAGATCTACAGCCACATGACCTGTGCCACAGACACGCAGAACGTCAAGTTCGTCTTCGACGCCGTCACAGATGTCATCATCAAGGAGAACCTCAAGGACTGCGGTCTCTTCTGAGCAGGTAGGGGGGCACATTGTGCCACGATGGGGGCTGTGACCCCAGACCCAAAGAGCTGGCAGCAATGGGGAAGGATGTTTCCCCTCAGCGCCCCCTTCTCTCCCCCCCATCAGAAGAGACGACTGCAGTTCCACATCACCGTTCTGCTGAGCAGAGCCAAAAGGACAACACAGAGCTCCCCAGCCCCCACTTTTTCTATGAGCTGCCCCCCCAAGTCTGAGCCCACGCTAGGAGGGGCCCCAGCTGCCCTGCCTGCCCCACATCACGGCCATTTCCTCTCGGGCAGCACCCAGCTGTGCTCCTCCCACACAGAGCTCAGTGCAGGGGAAGAGGAAACGGGCACTGGGGCGGTTGGCATTCTGCTATTTAGAGCTGGATTTGCTCTTTACTGTTTGTAAATAAATCCATCCTACCGTAGACAAACCCTGTATGCTCTCGGTGTTCACTGCAGTCATCGGTGCAGCTTCACTTAGGAAAAACAAACCAACAAAATAAAGAGATGTGCATGAATGGATGTCTTGTTTCTCCTGTGCTGAAGGATGGAGGCACAGCTGGTGGACCCCGCGTGGGTCCCCACACCTCTTGCTGCTCCCACATCACAGCAGGGTGGTCCTCATCCCACGGGCTTTGAGACACACCAACCCCTGCCCCACACGCAGCCCCACACCCAATAAGCACAGCGCAGGGAGAGCAGCAGAACGAGGCACAAAGGAGGGAAAGGACCCAACTGTTCACTCACCATTTTAATACTGCCAACAGCTACAACAGATCAGAACTGTACACAATGACAACCCGGGAGAAAGAGCCCCGAGGTGATGGTTCAGCAAAGGAATGGACTGATGGGGTATGAACGTTACTACAGGGAAAACGATGGCAAAGAGGGATTTGGCACCACATATACAGAGTAAAGGCATGCTGTCCATACAGACCCTGCACAGAAAGGCCGTGGTAAATGCAGAACACGGCGTGCCCTTCACCAAACTGCCAAAAACAGAGCACTGTGCACAAAGGCTGTGTCACAGCACACGGCCTCCAGCAGTGCAGAGCTCAGTGTGTTCACCATGAGCAGCGTTAACCCATCAGCACTGCTCCTGCCCTCACTGTGTGCTACCAACACGTGGCCAAAGCCACACAGAGCGGGGTAACACCTCACAGCACAACGGGCCAACGCTACGGCCTGTAAGACATTGCAGAAATATTGAGTTCTGACCACAGCAAGTGTTAAAAACAGAGAGTTCCTGCTAAGAGGAATGCTTCGGGCACGATCTGCTCACGTGTGCATAGATCAGTGATAGTTTCTGTTGGTTTTATTTTTAAAACAAGAATCTTTTGCGAAGAAAGAAAGACAGTTTAGTAAAGTTATAGTTTTCTCAATGGAAAAAAAAAATAACGAAACAAAACACCTTAAAAACAGACTAGTGGTGGTTTGGTAACCAAAGAAAGAGAGAAAGCTACATATGGAAGGCCTGGAACCCAGCACCTCAACTCCACAACAGCTGTACACGTTTGGGTCACGCCATCCAGACGACGTCAGGGCGATGCAGAGTCCCACTGTTCTGCCCTGACCCAACCTCAACACCCCCTATCGATTCAAAGGTCCCTAATACAGAAGGTTGTGCTAAAGAACGCGACGATTCTGCATGCTGCTTTCAGCCCCCTGGTCCCGCTCATGCCGCTGTCCCCACGAGGCAGCAAAGTCTGCTTCTCCCAAGGGTGCTCTGTAAGAACTGCAGGGAGAGCAGCGAGCGTCAGAGGGAGCAGCACAGCCCAGCCCAGCCCCACATCGTTCTGCTTTACCTTCAGTAGAGCCCACACTCCTTCAGGTTGTTCTTAATGATGACGTCTGTCACGGCGTCAAACACGAACTGCACGTTCTTGGTGTCGGTGGCGCAGGTGAAGTGTGTGTAGATCTCCTTGGTGTCTTTCCTCCTGTTCAGGTCCTCAAACTGACACTGGATGTAGGCAGCCGCCTCCTCGTACGTGTTGGAGCCTGGCAGAGATCAGGTCCCTCACTTCAGTGAACAGCACTGTGTTTTTACACAGATCTTTTAAGCTGCTCGCAGCCATCTGCCTCATCCAGCTCCAAACCAAATCCACCGTTAACCCCTCCCTGCAAACTCAGCTCTGCTCCCAGCCGCTGATCTCAGCTGGGTGAGGTGTCAGCAGCACACCTCACACCCCCAGGAGACCCAGAAGGAACCACCACCCACGGGCTGTGCACCACCACATCCCCCTGAGTGAACAGATACAGGCTGGGCTGCCCAGCATGCACCCCATGGACAGAGCTACAGCCACAGGACAGAACCCCAGACTGCAGAGGCTCCACCTGAGCCTGGAGACAGGAGAGGCCATCCCCATCTGTGTGTGTCCCCACCTGTGTACTCTGGGTAGCAGATTGTTAGTGGGCTCTTCTTAATCTTCTCCTCAAACAGGTCCTTCTTGTTCAGGAAAAGAATGATGGAGGTGTCTGTGAACCATTTGTTGTTACAGATGCTGTCAAACAGTTTCATGCTCTCGTGCATCCGGTTCTGAAAGGCAGAACGAAGGAAGAGGGTGATGCATCAGTGCAGAGTTATTCAGAGGGCAGACAGGCTTTACGAGGACCGGACTACAGCACCAAGCATGGCACAGCCTGCTTCTAGCCCCAGGGCCACCAGCCAGGTGCTGGAGACCCCCCATAACTCCCCCATGCTGTACCATTTCTTCATCCTCGGCCAAGACGAGGTCGTAATCGCTGAGGGCCACACAGAAGATGATTGCTGTGACACCTTCAAAGCAGTGGATCCATTTCTTCCGCTCCGACCGCTGCCCACCGACATCAAACATCCTGCAGAGGCACAGCACAGACTGAGAGCCCACACAGAGCTCTGCCCCGACACAGCAGGTGGGGGAGGCTCATGGAAGGGCCTCCAGACAAGCGGGGTGCAGGGCAAACCAGGCACACAGCCTGGGAGCAACCCAGAGCCCCCCTCCCTCAGAACCCCACCGGGCTCTGATTCTCTTCAGAGCCATTTCAGCAGAACAACTCGAGGTTCAGCTATCAGCTGCTGATTCACCAGGGCATGCTTGTTTTGTTCCCTGCCTCCCATTTCCTTAGCAACAATCCGTTTGCTTGACTGGACTCCAAACACCTACTCACATCAGCTCTTCCAGTTCATTTACACTGAGCCTGACAAAGGCTTCTGTGGAGCAGGGCTACCTACCTGCACACTGCTGCTGAGAGCAGAGTAGAAAAACATCGTGAGGTCAAGAAATGCTTTTATGTATGGAAGCAAACAAAGAAAGAAACAAACAGGTGAGCTGCTGCAGTTCAAATCCCCAGTGCAGGAGAGAACACTGCAGCACCTTGGCTGATAGCAGCACTCTGCTCTGCTGAGACACAGGGCTGCCCAGCACCTTCCAATCCATCACGTATCCAAGAGCCACAGAAATCATAAGCATGGATTTGTTATCACAGCAAACACGCAGACAAGAGGGGCACTGTGCAGCGTGGGCCAAAAGCAACACAACGCAGTGACGTCAAAGCAAAGAGCCACAAGAGCAGCCCTGCTAACTCCACTCTTCTATTTAAGGCAAATGCCCGCTGCTTCCCAGAAGGAAAGAGGAAGATCTCTGCACAGATAGAGGCTATTTGCTCAGCTCCTGCCATCCACCACAACTGCTGTTAGCACAGATGCAGAAGGAAATGGCATCCCTGACAACTCGGCCTCAAAATGATCCACATTCAAGTCACCTTGACCACCTCAGCTCACTGTTAACAGCTGAGCCTTAACACCAAGCTCCATCACAGGGGGATGGGCAGCTCCCACTCCATGCTTTCCTTTGTGGAGCAAATCCCTCCACAACAGACACCTCGTGTCTCCGGGAGGGCAGGGAAGGAGCAGCCTCCTGTCTGCAGCCAGCAGAAGGGCTGTGATGCTGAAGGGAGCCTGCCTGCTGCCCCCAGCAGGCTCCCCATCCACCACACACAATGATTTCTCAAAGAGCACTGCACACTGCAGCTGGAAACACATCCCAGTACATCGTGATGGAAGACAAACCTTCCCTGGATGAACCAGCAGCCATATCAACAGCTCCACGGTGCAAAACACTTCTGCTAAAACCATTTGTAAGTTACAATAGAAGCCAAATCACTACTGTTCTCCTAAAGGGCATGCAAGCAAACCACATTCTATAAGCAACACATGGATTTTTGCTAGAGCTCTTTTCAAACACAAGCTAAAAGTAAGCCAGTAAATGCTTATTTAGAGGCTTGGAGCAACAACAGCTTGAAAACAGGGCCAGAGGATGAGGGGAAACTCACCCACAACACAACACTGTGCTCCTACATCCAGGGCTGGGGCTGCCTGCTGGGATGGGGACACACAGCAGGGAAGGCTAAGTGCTAAGGGCAGGGAGCTCAGCTGCACTCCAGCAGCTGCTATAAGGTTAGAGGGAGCTCTGTGGGTCACACTGACAAGGACACTGCTGGGAGATGGCCAGGCATGGGGCACAGAGGGCTAGGAGTCCCTCATAGCACTCCTGTGTGCACACAGCAGCACCACGTGCCCAGAGCCAGGCCAGGGCCTCAGGGACAACCCCTCATCTCCCACATCAAATAAAGGGATTGCACTCAAACTCAGCAGCCAGGAATCAGTGCCCTTTTAGTATTTGTTGCTGTTCTGATCCTGTGAACAAGCAGCCAGTACCTGTATCTGCGAGTCCAACATAAAAGCAGCTGCAAAGAACAAAAGAAGGCAAAGAAAAGTCAAACCAGAGAGCAGTGCCAGCACACGGGGAGGCAGCAGCGCTCAGGAGGTGCTTTGCTGGGGGTGTGGATCCTCCTCCAACCCCCCCCAGCACCGAGGAAATCACTGCAGCCCGTAGGATGCAACGCCCTTCGCTTACTTGAAGTAGAGGTCCTTGAAGGTGAAGTGTGTCTCCACAATGCCTGTCGTTTTCACCCTGGTGCGCAGCACATCCTGCTGGGTCGGAATGTAGGTCGGCTGGGATATTCTATCCAAGTCGTTCAGGTAACTAAACCAGAAGAGACAACGCCAGGAGAGCTTTTTTTAGGCTGCGCTCTCGCTATGAATCTTTTATGAACTGCAGAAGAAAGTCATCACTGAATGTATTCATCCTCTGCCCACAACGCAGATCTCAAACACGCAGCAAACAGACACGAGGTCCCACGGGTCTGCCCTCAGGGGGGGTTGTTTTAATTTTTCAACCCCCCCCCTACCCCCCATGACCTTGCAGTGTGTGCTGGGAGCAGTGCTGGGCAGCAGGGCAGTGCAGGAGGTGCTGCTGCTGTAGGAGCTGTGCCAAGAGTGCTATCTCTTGGGGCAATTCAAAGCAGTCAAGGTTTTTTGCATCAAAGTGCAAAGCAATAAATCCAGCAGCTCGCTGTAAAGGGCAAGGATGCATCAAACGAGCCAGCAGGAAGAAATTCAGCATAAAGAGACCAGGCAGGTTCATTCACACCCTTCAGCAAGGCCAGCTGACAGCCAGGGGTGCCCCATGGTGGCTGCTGGGAGGACACACAGGTGGTCAGGGCTGCCCAGAGCACACAGTCACAGCCTCCTCCTGCTGCCTACCAGCAGCAGATGCCCTCCACTACATCCAGACTTGCTGGAACACAATAAAACCCAAGCAGCTTGCAGTGGGTTGGAGCACTCATCACCCACAGATAGGCACAGCCTGAGGGTCTGCAGGCAGTGCTGTACAATATTGCTTCAGGATCTGCTAACAGCAGCTCCCCAGACCGCACTGCACCCCGCACTGCCTGCAGCCCTTCTGCAATCTCCTTTGCCACCAGGCTTCCTCTGTAGGCTGAGGTTGCAACACTGCTTCCCCACCTTGCATCCTCATGTTTACAGAGCCAGCTACTTCCCATGCTCTGACACCATAGGGTAAACACAAGCTTGCAAGAAGGGTGGATTTTGTTCTTTTGTTTTCTTTCCTTTATGCCCTCAAATGAGGCTCTGGGCACAGAATGCTGACTAAAAGCCCACAGCATGACTCGTGTCTGCCTTGCTGCTGCTCTGAGCCTTCCCAGGCCCTGGGTCAGTAGCTGTGGGTGCTGGGATCCATGGCTCCATCCCCATTGGCATCACCCCGTCCATCTCACTGCAGCACTGCCAGCAGCAGCAATGTTCTGCAGTGTGTGCTTTCAGGGAGTGCAGCACAGCTCCCCGTTCCACACACACGTGAGCCCCAGAGTGGTGCTTTCTTAACAGTTGGGTCACTTTTCCTTTCAGTGCTGAAAAGAGTACTTTCAAAGCCAAAAATGGCTCCAAGAGATTCTTACAAAGTGCTGGTTATGAGTGGCTGCCCCTGGCACTGGGGCAGAGCAGCAGGCAGAGCCTGAGAGCAGGGAGGAGAGGCAAGATTGAGACATCTGGGATGTCACACCAAAAGGGTGCAGGCTTCCAACCCTGAGACCTCAGCCCTGCAGAGGAGCAGAGGTGAA